GGTATGGAACCAGAGCAGTATCCAACAAAATAGCTTGTCCCACTATCACAGGCTACCAATACGAAACTCCACGTTGCAGATCCCTCAGAAAATGAACCATCCGTGTAAATGCGAACAGACTCAAAATTCATTGGGTTCCAAGCATCTGGCTCACATTTTGGTGCCTGCTGAAACATTTGTTGGATTTGTGGATCTAAATCGGACAAGTCAAAAACAGTCTCCAATTGTTCATCCACAGGGTCAAAATCCAGCAAAAACTCAAGCTCTTGGTCCGATAGCCCAAGTGGAATCTCCAGTTCATGGCTATTGCCTCCAACCAATGCTTCATTAATGCTGATCACCCTCGGCACTGTTCTGGACCTGGCCGGTGTCGGTATAGGCCTCCTCGGCTTGTCTGGTGTGAAGTCAACGACATGGTCTCCATCGTGACAATGTATCAGATCATCCATGGCATCCATGCATTTCGACTCCCAGTACACACCATTTCATCATCTGTGAAGTGGGAACTGTTGGCCCCTTCCAAATCACACAGAGTTGAACGTTCATCGTCACTCTCCGTATATTCAAGAAGTTGGAGATAGTCCCCTTCTTGTACAAAAAGGGATTCATCCCATTCGTGCCAATGTCCTGCCCGCCAGACGAAACAATCCGCCACTGTTCGACAGCGGTGGAACGGCATCACCTGGTCAAAAACCTCATTGGTCGTCAAGGCCTGTGGATCCCGCAGCAAGAAACCACCCTGAACTTCATAGTCCAATGCTTCTAGGTCAATAAAGACTGGTCGGTACATCGGACTACTATAATCGAGCACTAGGAATGCCGGCGAGTGGATTCCAGCTTGCTGAACATGCGAGGAAATCGGCACGATCATAGGAGAATCGACCTCACAGAGGTCTCTCCATACCTGCACGACTCGACTTTGGAAGTCCTGATGCGCATGTAGTGCGATAACACGAGATTCTTCCTGTACAAAATCTCTTTGATCCCATCTCAGCATCCAGGTATGTACATGCCAACTAGAAGGGGACCCAAAGGAAAACGCTTGCATCAGAGTATGTTCCTTCCCCTCATGGTCTTCTTGTCCTGGGATGGAATCACCAGTATGCCTAGCAGTTCTGCTTGATGTTGTCTGGCTAGTAGCAAGACCAGTCAAAGATGGAAGCCAGGGATCAACTACCGAGTCTGTGGTCCCATCCCCCTCAAAATGGCCTAAGGGACCAACTGCGATCGTTACCCACTGTCCTGGACTAAAAGGTACGAAGTCATTAGGCTCTACCATCTCACCAACCAGCATAGCGTGGTAGGATTGAGTGGAGGGAACGACTGGCGGAAGTCTAGACCTCCAAAGCAGGCTGTTGATCGTAACTGCTTGTTGGGCTACGTGAATTTCTCTCCAGGAATCCTGGCCATCATTGATTTCCAGCAAGATAGGCAAATCTCTCCCAAACCCCACACCCCAGGAATGTAAAAAATGGTCGCGGAGCATCTCATCCCGCAGCAGACGACCCGGCACTTTTGATGCCCCTGGTCCTGGATTGAAGCGCGTCACTAGCCAACAGTGTTCTGAATGTTTGCTTGCTAGTTTAATTTTGGAGCCTAGAGTGTTTACAAGGGCTTGGGTAAAATCTCTGTCTTGGGTAGAATAACTTTCCTGCAAAGAGAAGCATCGCCAAATGGCAGTTCCAAGTCAATCAATTCACAGGAGGCCCCTAGCAGCCATGGGCCCTATGGACCCTCCCGGCCCCTACCATCGCCTCAGAGTCTTCAACATCTGAAGAAGTATGTCTTGTGGCACTTGTTACTAATAGCTTCTTGCTACTACTAGTAAGGCACTTGTTCCTAGTAGCGTGGCACTTGTTACTAATAGCTTTGGGTCTATCCCATCATTGCCTCTTCAAACGGGAGTGTTTTCGAACCCGTCGAACCATCGAGCCGTTCGAACCCTCGAGCCTTTGTGATCAGACCATTGACCGTCTGCCGGTTGACTGGGACAGACCGATCTCTTGGCACCCAAGGCCATCGGTCTTCAACGACAAGGATGACAGAACCGTTCGTGGGGTTCTCCGCAACCGCACGGCGGCAGAACCGTCCGCTTCAACCCAGGGCCACACCAGCAACGGCATGAGTCGACTGGGCTACGTCGACGTATCCGGACTCTCCACCTCTCCAGACATTTTCTTCACACAGCTTGTGAAAGTGAAAGTGAAAGGAGAGATGAGGGGCAGGGCTTTAGAAATTGAACTGGTGCTAGGTCGCTGGTCTCCAAGCAGGAAAACCATTGCAGACACCTGACCTGAAGACCTGGGAAGCTCACCAAATCTGGCTCCAGATCACGGTCCAGCCGGCTGCAATTTCATTAATTTACTCCATCTAACCACTTCCAACGGTCTTGCAAGAGCTATTGCATTGGCTGAGCCATTGGGTATATGGGTGTCCAAGAAACTGGTTTGACGATTTTGGATTGAAACCTCGCCATGGAGGTTTCGACCTATTGCGTGGAAGGGTCCGGCAAAAAAACACTCTGTTTGATGCCTTCCTTCGGCTTGAGTGACAAGTAGTCACCACTTCAAACAGGCCTCAGGTAAGGGCATTCGAGTTCCACATGGAGCTCTTCACATCCTTCCAAAGTGTCATGCGCTGACTGAGTTTGCATCCTCGGCTTCCAATCAAAGGATGAAGACAGGAACACACTCCTTGAAATTCATGGAAGTGGATCCGAGGGGCCCCTTGGATGGCCGTTTTTCATCGTTTTTCCCAATACCAAACAGGTGGTGAACGCCACGTCCATGCTTACTTCAGGAAGTGTACAGATTTGGACTCTTCATGCCGGGAAGCCACTCCTCAGGCCCTGCACTGCTGGGCATCCTGCCCAAACCCATCCTACCGACGAAGAGCAGGGCATCCTGCCAGATTCTTCTGTGACCAGACACCTCCAGACAATTCCACCTGTTTATCTTGGATCAAAATCTCGCAAGGAACATGGAGGAACCAAGGAGGACCACAGCAGGGGCGGAGGTGAACCGGGCCACATGGCGGCTCAGACCACCGTCAACCGTGAGGAATGAGAAGCTTAGTCTGATAGTTTGCCTCAAACTCATTCCAAATGTTACAGTATTCAACATCAACCAAAAAATGAACTGTGCATTTTGTACCGGCATCCGGAAGCCTGCCACGCCTGAAACCGACGCACCTTCGACAAAGTACTGTGGCACCAGAAAGCAAAAGTGCAGCCTTCTCCCCCGCACTTTGCGTTGTCTTTATGCGCCGTTTTTGCTTTGGTGCCGAGGCCGAGGCAACCACGGACTTTGAATAATGCCCTATCAAAATCTGACCTGATTACGTGTCGCTTTCATTGCCAGTCCATCCATGTCCATCCAGATTTGTTGTCACGGGGACAACGGAGCTACCCCTTCGTTTCACTGCCTAGGCGCCCAAATATGCAAGTGCCCAAGCGTTCCTTCCAGGCGTCTGCATCGTAGGCCGCCACCCGCTGAGCTCGAAACGGAAGACGGTGTTCTGGCGGGCAGGCCTGCGCGTGAGCGCGGATCGGTCGACGGGAGGCGGAGTAAGACCACCTGGCACTGGTCGACTCGGAGTTCATGCTCATCCGAACGAAAGGGACCATTGCATCCACCTAACCCTGATTGTTCGTGCATAGTCTAGTCCAGCAAGTCCGTTTTGAATGAGTTCCTTTCGGAGGACTTCCCACCTTCCCACATGGCACCCACGACCCGTGCAGTCGAAACACCCACGACTTGCCACAGAAACTGCTACTGCTTGAGGAGCCCCTTCCCACCTCCCAGTGTGAAAGGTGCGGCACCGGTTTCGGCGAAAACTCTTCGAACCTCACAGCTGTTCTTCCCACCAGTCTTCAGTCTTCTCAATGGTCTTTCGGACTCTGTCTCACCACTTGCGTTTTTTGTTCCTCAGCATCCGGACCACGCACTTGTGCTCTTCACCAAGCCCCTGACCTGTCCCCTGTCACCGTCAGGATGTGTTGAAGGAACTGCTCCAAAAATGTCCGCGCACCAAGCAGCGCCCTCCGCAACGCCTGGCCCCGAGGCGTTCGACACCGCACGCAGGGCCCGGCGTGGCATGCCGACCCGCTGGCCGGGAGGCCCAGCGTTGGCCGCGGAGCCCATCTTGGCCCCCGAGAGCGGTCGTGCTAGTTGGAGATTCTGATCCAAACTTTGCGGTTGAGCAGCGACGGTGTGTGTTTTTTCCGCAGGATGGTCATGGTACAAGCCGTTTTCTGTTTTTTTGTACAGCTCGATGGTGTTCTTCTTCGTGTACAAGGCAGGTGGGTGGCATCTGAATTCATTTGACTTGCCAGTTCGTCATGTTCGAAGAGTCGGCTGCGAAAGAAAGAAAGAAAGAAACCAAGAAAGAAAGAAAGAAGGAAAGATCTGACGGGGAAAGAATTGCATCAAATCCCCGTGGCCCTCGTCATCTAAGTGTTTCTGTTTTGCCTGCCCAGTTTGTTGGGCTGCAAGGGACTAAACTGCTCATCAGCCCACCTTGAAGGCCTGGGACATCACAAATTCTGTCGTAGCTCAGAAGCTCATGCTTTTGTTTGAAAAATACACCAGCCTAACCCGAGATGGCCAGGCAGAATCCAACGACCCAACATTGTCAAGTTCTCTAGCTGTTGACATGTGGCTGTTGAAATGTGACACCTTGTCTCGAGAGCATGCTCAGCCAGCTCGCAGCACCCCCAGATGGCTAGGCAGAATCCCATAGCTATCGCTATCTGGTACCAAAAAGAAGTCCTCGATCTCCCTCAACATCTCAGTAAATCCCAAGAACAATCCGAGTGCCCAAAAAGCCTTTCTAAGGGCTCCCACTCACTGTATCTGCCCTCAATCTGCCTCTCCTATTATGTCTTTCTCCCACAAATCGAGGAGACTACTGGAGATCCAGTCACCTCCAGTCCCACCAGCCCGGTCGGTGAAATCGGTGAAATCCTCCGGTCTCACCACCCTCCGCACGTTGCGTTGCTCCTCAATGAGCCGAGGGATGAGATCCTTCACCTGACCGATCCACACCTGGCATTGAACGGTTCGAAGAAACGCCGACGGGTCGCATCCCGTGTGCATCCGTTGGAGGAGGGCGGAGAGGTCTGGGACGTTTGAGATACACAGACTCCAGGAGTGTGTGTTTTTTCTTCAGAGGACACACCTGTCACTCCTCAGCTTTTCCCAGATAACGAGCCTTTTCTCTTTCCAGAGTTTGGCTGAGGAATTCATGTCAAACCACAATGAAGCGAATCCCAGAACCTCTTTTATTCCAGACCACAAAGCGAAGATTCGACACTAGTTCCGCAGGAATCAACAGAGATCCATAGTCTGGAAGTGGTGTCCCACCAGGTGGTGCAGGATGAGATGTTCAATGAACAGTACTGATGTTTTCCGAGCGGATGATGAACTCTCATCTCAGCGAGATGTGTACGATGAACTCTCCAGTCTGTGTACACCCCCCAAACACTGGCACTACAAACCCCGTGTGACTCCAAGCTGAGAGGCGTGGTGGCTTGGGCTCTAAAAATCCCTCTGTTCGTCCTGGCTTTTAGAGCGAGAACTTGAGCTGTCACAAACCATTCGGTGGACCCTGCCCGGTTCGGGGGTCTTTGGCCCCCGACAGGAAGCAGGTTTGAGGGAACCAACCAAAAAGCTTTTGTTCACCTGCGATTTGGTTGTACTCCTTTCGATTGATTCCCTCCTCACCCCAAAAACCTGCAAAAATCTTCATCCCTACTCCCTACTGACTAAATGACTCAGAATGACCAACGTAACTGTCCCACATCCGAAGGAGGAACCTCTGATCCACTGCTGGAACTCGCAGCGTCCGGCACCTCGACAATGTGCGAAAGGCGACTCATATCCAGCACGTGTCTGGCAATGCACGCATGTACCTGGCTTTCTTCAACAGTGCACGCTGGCTCGGCCATCACTGATGCTCTTCGTTCACAAGCTTCGGCTTTTTTCGGGGCCGGCCTTCCCCCACTTCCCCCACTTCGCCACTCGAAGCCTCCAAGGCTCGTGGAGAAAATCGATCGGCGCCGGAGCCGTTGGAAGAGATTTCTTCGGTCCGACCCGCCGCGTCGTTCGGACCCGCGTCGTTCGGACTGGTTTCAGGCGGTTTCGGTCGGGTCACGACGTCGGAAAACCGTCGGTTGGGGCCCAAAAGCAAAGGCAGTTCGCTGCCTTCTCTGGTCAACTGTCAAGCGATTCTGGAGGTCAACAGATTTTGAGTCTTTTATTGAACCTACAGTAAGATGGTATCCGGGATCTGTGGCTTGACAGGAGACTTTTGAATGACTTACTTGGGACAGCTGCTATGGCCGAATCCTTGCCACTGGTCGGTTCGACGCCCCGGTAAGTCATGTCTTGGTTTGCCACGGGCGCTCTGCATGAAGGATCTTATTAGTTTGCTGAACAGGAGGGGATCTGTTGACCTCAATTCCAAGACCAGCCAAGAGGACACGTCATGTGAGTGTGCCAAGGGGAGCCACTGTGAGACCTCCCAGCTCCCTTTTCTGTTTTGCAGGTGCTGAATCCTAGGATCCATGGGAAGCAGAAGCCTCCCTCCTTTCCAAGCCCAAAACGCCAGCTACAAGCTACAAGTCTACAAGGGACACCTGGCGCCTCGGCACCTCGCCCTGGCGCCCGGCCCATCCGTCGTGGCGCACGGGGTCGATCTCCATGGAGGTGATGCGATTGGCGCCCTGGAGCCGCGAGTCTTCGAAGAGGATGGATCCATCGGCATACCTCGGGCGAAGCGGGTGCCCACACGGCACTCCAAAGGTGCCAAGACTGAAGGTGTTTAACAGAGTCCAGGAGCAAAGCCATATGCCATAGGCCATAGGTCGTTCCCTTCCCTCTCCTTAAACTGTATGAAACAAAAGAAATGATCCACCCTCTCTTCGGCTCAACTGGAGCGAAACAGTGTCGTACAATGTGAAAAAAATAAACGAAGCGTGCCGTGGTGCCCCTTCTCGTAGCAGAGTTCCACAGCCCGTCCCATGCGGGTGGCAGTGTAGCCCACAAAGCTGCCGAACTCGACCATGGTCTTGTGCCTCGGGGGGAGTGATGGAGCTCATGGGCTGTGGGAGTGTCCAAAATCCACCGAAGGGCACAAAAAATGGGTGACAAGCCGAGTCTTTCGTGAATCGCTCGAACAAAAGCTTCCCACGTGATTCAAGGGGACCTCATTTAAAACATTCTAAGCTGTTCGAGAATTTAGACTCCCAAGTTTAGACCTGATTTAGATTGATGCCCCCCAAGCTTTGACTCTCAAGCCTTCCAAACAGTTCGATCCACCCAAGTTTTTGGGGTCTATGCTGGACTCTTGAGGAACTCATTCATATTTGAATCCCAGCTGCTCAGTCAATGGCCGACTTCCAATGCTGTGCTTCAAGATTTCCGCCTTGTCGTCACCCGCCACCTGCGCACGCAGGACTTTTGCGGTAATGTTCACCAACAAATCATCTGGGAAAATGAAACGAAATCCATTTCGCCGCTGCGAAAGCTTCCAGGTTCCTCCAACAAGGATCCCAGGACTCCGTTGTTTTCTGCCGCCTTGAGCCACTTGCCCAGACCTTGAGCAAACTTGTCGATCTCCTCGGACCAGTGCGACCGGTGATCGACCGGCCTTTTGGATCGGTGGACCGGTGGTTGGATCAGGTTGGTTGGATCCAGAAAAGACCTGCAGAGTGGTTGGTTTTCATTCCTATCATGGCGTGTGGAGGCTCAAATCAAATGAAAGATCTCAGATTTGTCAACACGCGTGGCCCCTTCGAGGTTGGCGCTCATGGCCCACCCACTTTCCTGAACTGGGGGGTAAGCAGCCAATAAAAACAATGAAGGTCTCTGTCACCGTGGCTATCTACCTATACAGATGTGTCTCAAGGTTTGGGGAGGCACTGCATGAGAGAAATATCCTTTTTTCAACGGTTGAGGCCACAACCATCTTGCGTCAGAAACGACTTTGGGTCATGCCAGTGCGGAGTCAAGGTTCGATTCGCCATGCATCCCAGTCTTCAAGAATATGTCAATATGTCTGAATCATAGGTCCTTGGTTAAGGTAGAGGTAGATCGAGGGGCTCTGTTCTTCGTCCCTTCCAATCTGGCTTCGGAACATGTCCATTCCTTTCGCCCCAACAGACAGAACAAACACACTAGTAGGTTGGAGGCCATCGCTAATAGGTTGGCGGCCATCACTATTAGGTTGGAGGCCATCGCTATAGGTTGGCGGCCATCGCTATTAGGTTGGAGGCCATCCCTAATAGGTTGGCGGCCATCGCTATTAGGTTGGAGGCCATCGCTAATAGGTTGGCGGCCATCACTATTAGGTTGGAGGCCATCGCTATAGGTTGGCGGCCATCGCTATTAGGTTGGAGGCCATCCCTAATAGGTTGGCGGCCATCGCTATTAGGTTGGAGGCCATCCCTAATAGGTTGGCGGCCATCGCTATTAGGTTGGAGGCCATCGCTATTAGGTTGGAGGCCATCCCTAATAGGTTGGCGGCCATCGCTATTAGGTTGGAGGCCATCGCTATTAGATTGGAGGCCATCCCTAATAGGTTGGAGGCCATCGCTATTAGGTTGGAGGCCATCGCTATTAGGTTGGAGGCCATCCCTAATAGGTTGGCGGCCATCGCTATTAGGTTGGAGGCCATCGCTATTAGATTGGAGGCCATCCCTAATAGGTTGGCGGCCATCACTATTAGGTTGGAGGCCATCGCTATTAGGTTGGCGGCCATCGCTATTAGGTTGGAGGCCATCCCTA